CCTCCTCCGCCATCTCCACCTGCCAGTACCCCGATGCCAGATCGAGGGTGGAAAAATACCGTGCTCCTGCGAGGCTGTCAAAGGTGTCGTCGATGCGTGGTATGGGGAAGGCGTCGCCGAGGGTGACTGCGTTCAACTTTCGGTAATCAACGCAAAACCGGGTCGACCCGTCCTTTTTCATCACTAGCACCACCGGGGCAGACCAGGGGCTCGTTGGGGGCTGGATTATGTTATCACGTAGCATATCCGCGACTGCCTCCTTGATCTGGGTCCGTTCAGGCGCGCCCACCCGGTATGCGGGGAGTTTGATAGGTCGGGCTGCACCCGTGTCAATTGTGTGCTTAACAAGGTCTGTCCGACCTACACCCGAATCGTGCTCACTGAACACGTCGGCGTACTCCTGCAACAACCCGCGCAGCTGATCGTCCTCCCCCTTAGGTAAGTCCGCCCAAGGCACATGTAACGCATCATGCAAGGGGATGATCTCGGCTCGGGGAGTCGGGCCGACCCGCCAGGCCAGATCCTGGTTGTCCTCGGGGCGGCCAGGGTCTTCCGCCCAGAGTGCGAACACCGAGTCGTTAGAGTGGCGCGGATGCAGGGGGTGTATGGTGGCTACTGTGGTGCGCCGTCGAAGCATCGCCGGGGTACTGTGTGGGTTAAACACCCGCATGAACAGTCGGGCCCCATCTGCGTTTACCAGCGTGGCTGACCCTACGACTCTGTACCGCGCTGCCAACTCCGGGTGAGGAGTTAGCATTACCTCGCCCGATGGTTGGTGTGTGGGGTCGGCGGAGGGGGTTGCCACTGGCACCAGCATCTCGGCGAGCGGCCCGATGGTGACTGCTGACACCAGCGTAGCGGCCACGGGTGTGAAGCGAGGGCGATTCGGCTCGGGTCCCAGGAACGGGATCAGCTCCCCGCTGCCCTCCACGGTGGCGCATCGCTGGCGGGACTGCACGTTGAGCCCCAGCTTTTCCAGGAGGTCCGTACCTGCAATACACTCGTGGCACAACACACTCGAGACGTAGAATTCCTGGGTGAACACCTGGTTTCCAAGACAAATCTCGAGGGAGATCCTTCCTAGCAACTCCATCCCGGCTCCGCTCGCTGTATGCAGCGTGAAATTCGGGGCCTGCAGGCGGCTCACGTCAACCCCGAGCACGCTGCAGTGCACGGCGCTCACGAGTGAGGCTACGGCCCCCGTGTCCAGTAAGATACGGGTGCGCTGACCGATCACCTGTCCTTCCACCAGCGACGTGGCCCCCGTGATTCCCGCCACCAGCTCCCGCAGCCAGTTGCCCGTGCTCAACATGTCCCTGGATGTTGTGGTCGGAATCTGCGTGGGGGTCACTCGCTCACCATTATTATTGTCGTCGTTCTGCAAAGGGACAGTGTTGACTGCACCCCTAGGTGGTCCACTCTCTAGGGGGCATTGGCATTTTACCGTGGCGCATTTTTAGCGCGGGCAATCTGAGGACAGTCCCTCACGAGGTGCCCTTGACGGTCGCACAGGCAACATGCTCGGGGAAAGGCGGCGGCCCCGTAGGAGCCTCCCCGCCCGCTCCCTCTTTCCCCTCCCGTACGCCGCTGCCCAGACTCCGCCTCGAGTCGGGCTACCCTCCCGGCCAGCCCTCCCACCTCGGTCTGAACCGTCTCCACCGTAGTCTGCAGCGCAGTCATATGTACCCATACTTGGGTTACCTTGTTGTCCACTTGGGTTACTCTCTCACCAACTTGGGTTACCTTGTTGTCCGTTTGGGTTATTCTTTCACCTACTTGGGTTACCTTGTTGTCGATCCCCCCGATGCCCGTCTGTACCCCCGCTACCCATCCCAGGGTTGTCTCGCGGGATACCGGGGGCTCCCTTTCCCGAACCCTTACCGTCCTGGCGAGCTCCTGTTCCTCCTCTTACTCCTCGGTGGACAGGCTTGCGACGGTGCGCTCCCGTCCCAGTTCTCGGAGCTGCGGGCGTTCGCTAGAAATTATTTCACATTTGCGCGCGCGCTCGACAAGGGCGTTAAAGGGGAGACGCGTACAGTTCATGTCTGGCTGCCACCACGCCGTGCGAGTTAAATATCGCTGGATTTTTTCTGCGGCCAGCTCCTCAATCACCTCCGTCGTGTACCCCGGGCGTGCGATCTTTGTTAGCTCGCGCACATCCTCGGCATAATCGCGCAGGTCCTCGCCGGGTTGGCGACAGCGTGCCTCTAAGGCCGCTTTTACCACCTCCTCATCGCGCGTACCGAAACGTAGAACAAGTCGGCGCATCAGCTCCTCTAGGTGTGTCTGCGCGCTTGCGGGTAGGGCTTCCACAAAATCGGCTGTCCGCCCATCCAGATTCATATTAAGTTGATGTAACGCCTGCGCATCCGTCCACTCATTAATTTCCTTAGCCCCTAGGACGTTGCGGGCAAATGCTTTCCACGAAGGGGTACCCCGGCCGGTGAATATATGCCTTATTTTCGCGTGGGGTAACGCGGGGTTTCGTACCGCTTCTGACGCCAAACTGTGGGAGCGAATGTCCCCCGCCATCACCGAATTGTCGGGGCCGTTGTGTCCCGACTCCCCCGCCACATTTATCCCACTATCCCCCGGCTGCTCTGTGGGGTTCGGGCTAGCGTCCTCCACTACCCCGCCTTCCTGTGCTGCTGACCGCGTCTGCATTTTTTAACCGATGGGTAGGGCGTGTCGCTTTACACTCGTGGTGCGCTGCGAGGCGGTGTACTGCGAGGAGCGCGTTCGCTCGTAAAAACTCTCTCCCGCCCGTGAACAGACTTGCGCGGCGCGTGTCTCCCTCCCACCCCCGCTCCACGTGCCCCGGTAATAACAAACACGCCTCTACCCCCTGCCCAGCCCCATACACCAATCGCACGCGAGGGGGTTGGGGTCGAGGGATGGGCGGGCGGGACGTTTGCCGTGCGCGCGCTGCCGATTGAGGAGGGTCGCCCGGCTCTGAGTTAAAGAGCCCGTTCAAACAGTCGCGTGAATACGCGCGCTCGGCGCTTTAACTCGCTACTTCGCGATTAGCAATCATGCGGGCCCGCGACCACAACACCGTCGCACAGGCACACGAGCGCTCTACACCACCGAAAACAGACGCTTGGGCACGCGCCCGATGAACAGCACACTCGTAAACAGCCGCGTAGGCACGCGCACGCTAAGCGCTCCGCCCCGATGTAAACAACCGTACGTGCGCGCGACCCCCAAGCACTCTTTACTCTCGTACCCGCCGCAAACAGCCGCGTATGCGCACGAGCGCAAAACAGTACTGTACACACTCGTACCGGTATGCGAACACCAAACACTCTGTCTCCCTCCTCGCACTCACAGTGACCACGACACAGCTTTATCCTATTAGTGGTTTTATTCCGCGCGAGTATCCCGCTAACTACGAGTGTCTGTGCGAGTCAGCAGGCCCTCCAAACCTATTCCTCGAGGAGTCCAGATTCAGCTTATCCTGCATATAGCTCCGTTTTCTACCCTCTATTCAATAGCCCAAACTTACCTCTCCTCTACTTACGATTCCTTCCACTCTGCTGCGTTGAACGCTGTAGAAAGGCGATACTGTGAGTCGTCTCCGGAGAGGGTTGAGTCTAGCTGTGCTGGGCTCATCGCACGGACGTCTCGAACGGCTGACCCTCCTGCCCCGTGGACCGCGATGATTTTGCAGAAGAAGACCTCTCTACTGTCCCCCTCCCCTCCTTTTTATCCTACCTATCACCGAACATATTGCACGGACCCGACACATCAGCGCCCGTGCCTTTTCCTATTCGAGTCTATTAGCTTACCTATAACAAAGGCACTCCGATGTTTTCGCACCTATGCTGCCCGGCCCAATCGGAGGTCGTGTTATTTTTATCTCATTGTCATCGAGTCCCTAATCCCATTCATAATAAAGGTGCACTGTGGCTCTCACACCCCAGGGGGCCCTGTCCATTCAGCTTTTGGATATTCTCACCCCTTTGTTATCTAGATCCCTGATCTTAACAAAGGCATTCCGTCCTGTGACCTTATCTAGCACAAAGGGCATTCAGATGCTTCCGCCCCGCGTCGCCTTGCTCATTCAAAGGCCTGAATGCTCCTATTTCCTATTGTCATTTGGATCCGTGAGCTCACCTATAATCAGGGGCATTCAGTTCCTAATTCCATTTATAACAACAGGCATGTCATGGTTCACACGCCTCGTTCCGCGTGTGTAATTTCGTCCGTGGTGGCTTTACGGCCTCTGCCGCGACTACGTGATTTTAATATCAGGTCACGGCGCCACGGTTCGTGTCAGCTACGGGGGGCGATCACCCGAATTCCCGGCCGTAGGAAACCATGAAACTTAATCCCATTAGGGGCTTCTGGAAAAAAAACCTATCGGCCAGGTGATCTCCCCTTCTGGCTCTATGTGGGGTGTGTGTGCGTTCGTGCGGGGGTGGGGGTGGTGCGGCGCAGCGCACCGCGTCGGCGTTGTCACGACCAGGGGGTGGTGTCGCGGCGGTCGAAACGGTCCCCGACGGAGCTACTCCGTCGTGGTGGCACCACACATGTACTGCTTTTCAATAATCAATACTGAAAATGGAGTCAGACTTGAACGGGTTAATTTTTTTTATTAATTAAAAAGGTTTTGATTAAAGGATTCATGACCGAGACGCGGTCTAAAAGCCAATGGTAGCGACACAACGCCAGGGTTCAACTTTGCGAGTGGTGAATTATTGAAGCTTGCAAGGGCTCGGCTTTCAAGCTGGGTGGTGGGGGGAGTGATGGTGGGGTTGAAATGGGGGGGGGGGGAGCAAAGAAAGTATCACCTACAAACTGTACATATGGGGAAAACTCCACCAGCAAAGTGAGGGGAGTTCACAGTAAAAGCAATTCATACAGCTGTGGAGCAGCATGACCGCATTACAATGCAGTCGTGTTAAATTTGGGCTTGCCGGATAACGTTATCCTCTTTCTGCAAAAGTGTCTCACTGCCACTTACAAGGATTGTGGGTGGGGGGGTGGGGCTTTTAACAGTCCTTCTTGTAGGCCTTTCTTTGTCGTTCCCTCTAGCACCGCCTGGGTCCCCTCGGCACACGTCCAAAAGAGCTTCAGTTTTCAAAATTAGAGTGCAATCTGTTTCGGTATAAACAAGATGACGCCTTCCAGTGTGGAGAAAGATGTCACCGCAAAAGTCCCCCATTTGGAACACCTAAGTGCTGTTACCTCCCTTAGGACCGCTGGGTGACCACCTTTCTCCAGGGCAGCCGGCCGCGGGCAGGCGAGTGTGGGTGGGGCGGTAGGTGGTGGGGAGGGGGGGAAATAAAATTACACTTTCGGTGAGTTCTTCATTGAGCGTGGAGACGAAACCCCAACGATCGCTGGTCAGAATTTGGCCCCTCAGGGCTGCGAGGAAGAGGAGTGCTGGCAACCAGAGGCGCTGGGAGTGGGAGAAAGGGAGCAGATCACATGGCCTCGGGTGAGGTGGACAGGTATTCCTCGGCACGCCTGTGCACCTCCAATGCCCGCATGGTTGACATGTCCTGGGGATGCTCAGACTTCCTCTGCAGAAGCACCTTCTTCCCTTCGCCTTTCGAGTTCTGCTCATCGCCAGCACACACAACGTGAGTGCAGGGAGATACGGTCATTAAAGGGGAATCCTGTTAACTTTTAATCAGGATGTCATATCCTAACGAGTGAAATGGATTAGAGAAGGACAACTGGGCATAAACGTTATTTCGCAAAATAAAATATTTTATTGGGCATACAACTTGGTTCACATTTTATACACACATACAAGCATTTGTTAAATTAAACGTTTATAAACATGGGAGGTAGGGGGGAGGGGGCTGGCTTTCATTTCTCTGCCCGAGTCAAAGGCACAGATGTACAAAAATGACGCATTAACCACTGCACTGCTTGCGGAAGCACAAAACGCGATTACAAAGCGTGCGGAAGCGGGCTGGTCATGCATGGCCCTTTAGGACCGACTGTGCTGGATAGTGCGCCCATAAGGGGGCTTTTTGCCAGAACGCTGCACACCTGCACCTGCACCTGCACCGCCTCGGTCTCCATGCTTTTCTTGAGCAGCATGATGTCTTCTGAGGACGGGGTACCAGTCTCCATGGACACAACCGCACCGTTCAGGTCCTGCGCCGGATCACAACGGGCTAAGGTTGACATCTGTGTTCGGCAGGACCCCCCCACACCGCACCTGCCCTCGTGCTTGCCCGAAGTGCATAATTAATTATTAACTCGCTCGCCCACGCCGTAGAAACACCATTCGGCACTTACGGACATGGGAGTTGGGCAATGTAAAGGCGTATTTTTCGGAATATGTTCATGGGTACAAAAGGAAATACACTCATAGCTTGACTTTAATGGGCTCGGGTTGGCTGTAATATCAGTGCAAGAGGATGATTATGCCTTTACTGTGCCACGCATATACAATATGAAAGTCTAGTTTACGGCACCTGTACTTCACCTTATGCATTGTTATGAATCGTTCATGCAGGTTAACACCCTCCTAAATTAATGTGTACTGCAGAAAAAACACCCAACAATAACACATTTAAATTCAGGGGAGCGAGGTGGCTGAGAAGTGAGAGCATGGAACCAGAACTGCCGAAATCCTGGATTTGAATCCAAGCAACCACCCAGATTTAAACTGGGTTTTGGAGTGGAATGAGTTGATGGTCTCAGCTCAGTCACCCATTGAATGCACCCAAATAACATTTAATGTAACACTTAATTTGGCTAAATTCCAGCTTTGAGAATAAAAAAGCAGTTTCACTGTCATCATACACAAACCAATCTCTCAGAAAAGTGCATGGATTTTGCACATTCCTTTCCATGTTCTTTGTGATCCAAGTGTTATGCCAGGCAATATGCACAGATTATAATTGTTTTGTAGACACTCATCTCTAGTTCATTATTATTTTTATCCCTTTTCACCTTCAATAATTGCCCTGGATACACACTTAGATTTCCCAGATGTCTCCCTCTAATATTTCTCCAGTTTAAATAAAAGATTGATCCAGTTTAAACAGCGACTTTGATTCAATGATTATTTCCTCTTGTTCAGTGAACTTTTTTCATGGCTTTTGTTTTGCTCATTTATCTTTCGCCCCACTTTGCAGCCTTCTTTGGTATTTCTTCAATAATTTCCTGTATTACTTTACTTTTGGTTGTTATAATGACGATGTCATTAGGGAATCTTAGATGGCTAATTTTTCTACAATTTATCAAATCCAATTTTCAGAAAATGTGTGAGTGGATTTGTGAATAGCCTTGTTTGACTCACCTTCCACTATGACGTTTGTTACTTCCTTCATGAAAATATCAGTGTAGGTTGTTAATATTTTGTATGTTGTTTTTATTTCCAAACATTTGTTATATTTAATGTAGGCCTTGATTCGAGAACTTAAATGACTGTCAATTTTCATTGCGTCAAGTACTTCTTTCAGTCTACAAAGGCCAAGCACAATGGTAAATGATATTAATTAGTTTTCAATTTAAAATCTAACATATACATAGGTTTTATAATTTTGCTCCAATATCTGGTCCCGCTTCTTTGATGGTGTCTACAGTTATACCATGGTTTGCTGCTTTGCAAGACCATGAGATATAGCCATGGCTTGGAAAGGCCTTAATTCAGCAGTGGATAGATCGTGGCTGTGGATGATTGAACAAGATAGCAACAATGCTTCGCAGAGACAGAATCATAAAACCAGGAAATCGTAACACATGACCCAGCGGGAAGCACATTCGCCACTCGTTACAGAGGTTCACGGTTCGAATCCGTCGGCCGCCCTCGTTATTACTGCGGTGTGCATCAACCATAAAAATAAGTGCCATCGACTTCAGAGTGGACGTAAAAAGAATCCTTGACATTATTCGCAAGAATGTGTGCCGGCATTCAAAGGGGTCAAATTATTACATTTACCAAAAGATTTCTCACTGGGATTATACGTAGCAATCATCACTTCCTAGCGGGGAAAAGTTGGTTAGACCCTCCTGAAAACAAGTCATGAGACTCCATGAGGTTTCCTTCGGTAATCAGGCCTAGTAAAAAGCCAAATGAAACTCAATGTATAAATAAATAAACACTTTAACTCTTGCAACAAATTATACCTGAGGATTCGATTTGGCGAGAATTTCAATCTTGTACCAGGCTTCTTCCCTCTCTTTAAACTTCATTTTCTCTCTGCAAAACCACAAATGTTAAATGTTAACAGTAACAGGAAAATGCACAGTCCTTGCTACTAAGCCTTTACATTTTTTATGTTTTACAAGAGACACATGGTCCTGCTTGGCTTGTCGAGTTTATAGTTTTAGACAATGGTTATTACGAATATTTAAGGTACTACTGTATTTAAAGTCACGTGTCAATCCACTGCTGGATGAGGGTCTCTCCACACTGTGGGCCGTGAGGTTATTGACCATACTTCACCACGCTAGTCAAGGTGGCGTTGCATAGATGAGTGCAGAGATAAGTACAATTGATATTGTTGCACTGCCCTCTGCTGCCCACAATAGCAGCCTGGAAAGAGCCAACACTAACAAACATAATACTGTAAAAATATTTTAAAATCACCCCATCACAGAGATGAAAAAAAACATGACTACATATCACTGTGACCTGTTATATTTACTGTGAATCATCAAATAATAAATTGTTTAAATCCACGCCTATACAGGCCACCATACTTCAATAGTGATTACCGTTGGTAGGGCTATTTTAATACACACAATGGACAGGAAGGACAAGATCAAAGGGCTCTCATAATCCACATGCAGAGTGTACGTTGCCTCATTAATCCCCACACCCCCCACTTTGCGCAAGAGCGTAGAAGTGTGGTTACCACATCTACGCCTCTATAAGGAAACAGGTGGACTTCACAAATTTGGTTGTCGCCTGATGAAGCTGGTTGTAATTACTGGCGAAACATCGTACTCAGATTGTCAATGTTGTGGCTTCGCTCTCCATCACACCGATGTGCTGTACTAGTGACCAATTTACATGTTCTGTTTACGTGACAACCCTTACTAGTTGGCTGTGTCGGGTGGTGGCGGGTTTTAACGACACATTTATATATTTAAGCGAACTAACCCAAAATACCTCTATTATGGATGTAATTTATCTTGCATTTTAATTCCATGAGCAAAGTTGCAAATTAAGCAAATATTGTCGAGACGATCATTGGTTGAACTTTGATCAAGTGAGCTGTTCTAATTGTGCACATTTCCATCAATGTTGCTTATAATATTTGGTTATCTGTAATATTTGGTTAGAGGTTATATAAGAGATGGCCTGCCCGCATGTTTGGTGGACAATGGGTGCATGCGGAGATGGTGTGGACTTCGTCTTCATCGGCGGCAGCCCCTTGGGGTTCGAGGATGACACCCATCAGATCTTGAGGTGGCTGAGGAGTCCAATTCACGATCTGCAGATCTTTGAGCTTTGGGGTCACGTGGTCCCAGATAGAAGTGGGAGCCACAATGCTGGGTTAGCTTCCTTTTCTGTTGTTATTTGGCAGCGATTCGGCATCAAGACGTTGGGTCTCAGTGGGCCGTCGCCTGGTGGATGCAGCAGCGCCACCCAAGGTGGGCGGCAGCCTACTCCGTCGAATCTCGAAGCCTGATGTTTCTGTACTTCAGGGAGGACTTGAGGGTGTCCTTGAACTGCTTACTTTGTCCTCCCCTCGTCCGCTGCCCATTAGAGAGCTGGGAGAAAAGGATCTGGTGGGGAAGGCAGTTCTCAGGTACGCGGAAGCAGTGGCCAGTCCATCAGAGTTGTTTTTTTAGAAGTATTGCTTCAATGCTGGTGGTGTCAGCATGGAGGACACTTGCACTTGATCCCCTGGATTTGATGGAGGCAGTGCTGTTGGAAACGCTCAAGCGCAATGACATGGCACCAATACATAGACAACATACCGGCAAGACTTAAAATCCTAGCATACCATCTTTAAAACTATCACATCTACACAAACACCGAGTCTACACAACATGTAGCTTCAGATAATTAATTTCGGTGCAACAAAAAACAGATGGTTACTCATGACAGCCACATGGTAGACTATGTTGGGACAAACAAAACCTTTCCGTTAACGCTCTATCAGAATATTTATTTCATACAGCAGGAATCCGATGAGCTATAAACCTCTTTTTCACAGATGTCCAGTCGAGGCAGGTGAGAATAATACAACACATAACACAAAAACTTGACAGTGAAAAGTATAGCAAATATATACAAATAATACTAAACTATTTTTTTATCCTGATTTAAAGCTTTCGTGACTGCAGTAATTCATATTCTTAGCTCTTTCGGTAACGTCACGTAGAAGAGAAACAATAAAATAATAATATATATATAAAACAATAAATAAATTCTCACGACGTTTCGACCATAACACAAACGGTCGTCATCAGGTGTGTCGGTTTGCAAACCTGATGACGACCGTTTGTGTTATGGTCGAAACGTCGTGATAATTTTTTTATTGTTTTATATATATTTTATTATTTTATTGTTTCCCTTCAACGTGACTTTACCGAAAGAGCTAAGAATATATATTTTTTATTTAAAACCAGGTAAAGCCTACTGGGCTATGAGCCTCTCATTCAGAAGCAACCTGGCAACAAATGATAGCTTAATAAACTGGTTTATCTTATAGAAATTTATTACAGCAAAATAATCTAGATAATCTAAACAAATTAACATGTAGGTTTTCGCGACCAATATTATTCATAATAAAGGTTTTTTGGTTAGATCGCGTTATTTATAAATGTGTCGTAACCCTCCACCACCCGACACGGCCAATCAGCAAAATAAGTATCACGTTGACAAAAGACAAATAATTCACTACTTTAGCCCACCTGTGTGTTGAAGAGTGAATCCACAACATTTACAGTTTGAGTACGACGTTTCGCTGGTAAATACATCCAGCATCATCGGGAAATTCGCCAGAATGGTAAAGCCCTCGCTTGCTCCCGGTTTAATATAGAGCAGCAGGGTGACGTCATCATTTAACTCATATCAGGTGCAGTGATTAGAGGCGGAGGGGGGGGGGTATTGTAATTATATAATCGATTAGTAATCAGTCATTGGTTATGATTAGTAATGAGTTGTAGATTAGTAATTAGTTGTAATGTGTGTTAGTGATTATATGCTGTGTTAGTAATCCGTTAATTAGTATGTCTTTCCCCTATAAGGAATTGTAATGTGCATTCATATTCTTAGCTTCCTCGGCAAAGCCACGCCGAAGGGAAACAACAAAACAACAAACATAGATATTCTATTATTTTATTGCTTCCCCCCCAACGTGACTCCACCGAAAGAGCCAAGAACATGAATCACTGCAGTCACGAGAGCTTTAAATCAAAATGTAATGTGTATTATTTAATAATACGCTTCCAGGCTGTACTAAGCCTGTAGCTGTCAGAGCGATTACATTTAATTTAAAATAACTGACAAATTAGCCAGTGTTTTGCAAAAGCAAAACATTACAGTAAGATTTGGTACAGTACACAAAATTCAAAAACTAGTATCTTGCACTAAAGACGCATTACCTAAATTATCAACAGAAGGTGTATATCGGATTAATTGTTTATGTGGCAGATGCTATATTGGACAGACGGGATGTAACATCAGCGTAAGACTAAAAGAACATCAGAGAAATATTAAATTATCTCAAACACAACTGTCGGCAGTGGCAGAACATGCTTGTCAACAAGGACACTCAATTGATTTTGACAATGTTGCAGTGTTGTGTAAAACTAATTATTACTGGCAAAAAACTAATTAGAGAATCCATTGAAATTGAGAGGAATAAGAATAACTTTAATCGCTCTGACAGCTACAGGCTTAGTGCGGCCTGGAAGCGTATTATTAAATAATACACATTACATTTTGATTTAAAGCTTTCGTGACTGCAGTGATTCATGTTCTTGGCTCTTCCGGTGGAGTCACGTTGGGGGGGAAGCAATAAAATAATAGAATATCTATGTTTGTTGTTTTGTTGTTTCCCTTCGGCGTGGCTTTGCCGAGGAAGCTAAGAATATGAATGCACATTACAATTCCTTATAGGGGAAACACATACTTATTAACGGATTACTAACACACATTACAACTAATTACTAATCTACAACTCATTACTAATCATAACCAATGACTGATTACTAATCGATTATATAATTACAATACCCCCCCTGCCTCTAATCACTGCACCTGTTATGAGTTAAATGATGACGTCACCCTGCTGCTCTATATAAAACCGGGAGCAAGCGAGGGCTTTACCATTCTGGCGAATTTCCCGATGATGCTGGATGTATTTACCAGCGAAACGTCGTACTCAAACTGTAAATGTGGATTCACTCTTCAAAACACCGGTGGGATAAAGTAGTGAATTATTTGTCTTTTTGTCAACGTGACACTTTTTTTCTGATTGGCCATGTCGGGTGGTGGAGGGTTACGACACATTTATAAATAACGCGATCTAACCCAAAAACCTTTATTATGAACAAAGTAGCATGTGGTAAAATGTTTTTTTAGAATCAGTGAGCTGGCAAGTATGTAATGATGCTTTAGTAATCAACACCTTCCACCTATTGCAGTCATTTGCGATCTGCACAACATCCATCATCAATTTCCCTGTCCAAAACACGGCGTTCATCATCCAGCTGCTCCACGGCCCGACCTCTCTGTCCTGGTACCCTTCAACCGGGACCTGTAGGATGGCGTTAGAAAGTCCCTCTGGTGTTCAAGTGAGAGCAGACCCAACAGTCGACAAAAGCATGTGTCCCAGTGGGGTGGGGAGGCTCACCTGCCGATCACTGCCAGGGGTCGCGCTCAGAGCAAGGACGCGGAACTGGCGCGAATAACCGACGAGCTGCTTCACCACCTGCCATGGACACCGAGTACAGCGCACGTGTGTTAACGAGCCAGCAGAGTCGGGAAATCTAGGGTAATCCTAACGTTTATTTTAAGATAGCGAAAGGCAGTTTTAAAACAGTACTATTTGGATTCATGTAGCAACTAGCATGCAGAAGGTACAGTCTTTTTGTCAATCTACTGCTGAATGAGGAACTCCCTACGCTGTACTGCGTCATGCAGGTTAAACGACCATACTTCACCATGATGATCAATATGAGTTTCTGAAGGCGAACAACATGTTAGGGGCATTGTAAATGACATCGGATTTTGGTCTGCTGAAAACATAGCTCCACAGCATCCTACAATACCACGTTTATGCATGGTGGTCACCGATCCAAGCACCATCCAGGCTCAGCCCTGCTTAGTGTATAAAATCTAACGAGACTGAGCAAATTCCAGGAGCTAATCACGATGCCGTACAAACCAAAATGAAGGATGAGCTCCGACAATGGGACCTAACCTGGCAATAGGAGTAGTTTCCCATCGCTTTGTGGGCTTCATCGACGACCAAGCACTTGACGGCCGCCGCAGGGCAAGCTTCACTGCAGAGGTCGTTCTTCATTACGTGCGGAGTCAAGAAGAAGAGCCGTTTCTTCGCCCAGATGGCCTGGCGGTCTGAAGCCATGGTGCTGCCTACCAAGGAAAAGCGTGAAAAGAAAATGACAAAATGGGACCTTTTTTGTCAGTATCAATGAATTCAAAATAACAATAGTGTTTTGTTTACCCGTTCTGGCTATAAAACAGGTGTTAACATGTTCAAACACCAAATAGAAACCTTTTGCAAGGAATAAATTCTACATTAAGCACGCGTACATGTGGTGAACATGCAAACTGATAATAAAATGACATCAGTTGTAGATTGTACATACGCATCCTCTATCAGCAGCCACGATCTATAGCCAGCACAATTATACCCACCATTATTACCAACACCACAATTACCACAAAGACCACCACTCCGAAAACCTTCATCAAAATTACCATCATTACCGGTACCTCCACCACAAAAAACCACCTCTCCCCAAGTTTGTTGTTGCAGCTTGCCGACCCCACCCCCCCCCCTACTGGACATCTGTGAAAAGAGTTTCAGAGTTCATTGGATTCCTCCAGTCTAAAAAATAAAGATTCCGATAGTGAACCACTCAATTATCATCCCAAACAACCACCGCCACCATCGAAGCAATCCACACACACACAAAATAATCACCCGTCATCTCCGCCATGTGCTCCTGCGAGATGCCTATCACGTTGTGACACGTCTCCATCTGCTGTGCTACCAGCGGTTTGGTGGGAGCCATGAAGAGGATCTTGCCGGACGGGTACCACCGGTAGAAGTTGTACATCACCACGGCGGCGATGAACGTCTTGCCCAGGCCGGTGGGCAAGCACACCATCGTGTTGTTGAAGAGCGTCGTCTGAACGATGCTGTATTGATATTCGCGCACCGGGAAATTTGTCGGGTAGATCCAGATGTCACCGGAGCTCACGTCAAATCCGGGCAGGTGTTCCACCTCCTGGTGTCCCTTGGCGTCTCTCCCAGACGCCGCCTCGACCTCAGCCGCGGCCACCATCAACACGTCGTCGTCATCATTGTCACCAACGTAGCCACCAAAGTCGACCTGCTGCCTGTACGAGGTCTGCTGACCCTCTTTGGTTTCAGGGCCGGTCCATAACGACGGTCCCCGACCAGAGCTTGCACTAGCCCAGTCTCCCGCATGCCTCCCGGAGCCCACGGCTCCTCGCCTGACCCCAGCTCCTCGCTTGGAAGTCCATGGTTTTACTGACGATGACCTTCCTTGAGACGACGACGACGTTCCCACTGCACCGTCCGCACTGCCCAGCCTGCCCCCCCAGCTCTGGAAGAGAGTCTTCTGCTTGGAATTGCGGCCGCTCATGACTGCGCTGGCCGGGGCGGCCTGTGCATCCTCGGCTGTCGTCGTGACGATGAAGGCGTAAAAGGAGACGTTAAAGGCGACGCGAGGCGCTAGCAAAGAGTGCTCACCTCCGGAACGTTCAGGTTCTTCGGAAGCATGAGGTCCTCCCAACGCGGGTTGCCTGCTGGTATTGGAACACGACCAGGTCACCCATCAACATAAACGGGCTCCCCAACGTCTCGCTACTTTGCCAGTACCGTTAGGTCCACCAGCTTCTACCAACATCTCTGACACCTCCTCTGGGACTTGAAGCAGTTCGGATGGAACCTAAAACACACACGCACAAAAAAAAGACCCTGCAGAGTCTTCAAAGGTTATCCAGGTCTCTAAAGCCCCAATACTTCTCGAATAGTGTTCAAGACATCGATCTCACACTCACACTCCTTATTATGGGACCTCTTAACACTTTCGCTTCGCCTAACCTCAACTCCTCCAGATCGTCGCAACGCATCCAAAACCTGCGGCCAAATTTCCAAGCTCTTTCTTGACTTGTTGCGCGCTTCCAGGGTGACCACGGGCACCTCCTCTCTCATCACCAGCGGAGCCCCGGCTCAGCCATGCTAGCTCAGGCAGACACGGGAGGAGTGGGGCGACATCTTATGAAGGGAGACTTCCGAGCAGTGACGATTTTAAAATTGCTATAGGAAACCTCCCCACCCACCCGCCCACCCCCGCCAGTCTCTTTGTTAAACAAGGTATTTGGAGATTCACCTCGTCTATTTGTGGAGTGGTCACTGACCGAAACGTGTTCTGTAAATATGTTTTATTTAGGCGCCAGCAGTGATATTGACAAACTTTTAAGTTTATTTTACTTGCTCCTTGGTTCTTTCGGTAAAGTCACGTAGGTATAAAAATAAAATAAATGTAATCACGAAGTTTCGGGCGCAGCACAAGCGTCCGTCATCAGGTGGAACAACCACAGCAAGAAGTCCGTCTTAATTTCGTGCGGTTGTCTTACCCAATATGGCCGACAAGTGCCCCCACGCGGTGCAGCGCTCATCCGGTGTATATTTTTAAATAACGTGGCGCTCGTATTGTTAGTATGGATAGGTAAAACGCGTGCTTCCGTCAACAATGTCAACAGGTTTATATACCTTCTTTGGTTCTTTCGGTAAAGTCACGTAGAATGAGAATAAAATAATAAATTGATAAAATAAAATAACACAATAATATTCTCACGACGTTTCGGCCACAACACAAGCGGCCTTCATCAGGTGAAGGGAGCGAGACTGTCTGGTAGAACAGCGCTGGAGTGAGAGAGCCACGTTCAGATCACGGCTTTTAAGCTGTGTGAGAGGAACAAAGAGCCTTGACGAAGGAATTAGCATAAAATTTAGCATTGAAATGGCTGAATGATTAGCTTGTGACTGGTCACAGAAATAGCTATGTTAAAAGTTAAAGCATACACATCCGCAGAGGCACCCATTGTTAAAAGGAATTAGCATAGAATTTAGCATTGAAATAGCTAAATTAAGGCATACACATCCGCAGAGGCACCCCTTGATAATGGGATTAGCATAGAATTTAGCATTGAAATGGCTGAGTGATTCGCTTGTAACTGCTACAGAAATAGTTACGTTGAAGTCAGAGCATACACATTCACCGAGGCACTTAGTACAAATCAAAACAGGAGAATTTAGCATTGAAATAACTAGGCGAATTTAGCATTGAAATAACTGGGTGATTTGCTAGTGACTGGTCACAGAAATGACTACACATCTGAGCTATTCACAGTACTATATAGTGAACCAATAAAAACTAAAATATAAATTACCTTTATGTTATCAATAAACTCTATATTCTCCAATCAGCTAAGCTACCAACCATAAGTCGTTATATATCACAATGCTATATGGCGAAAAAATGGGTGGATTCTTACCCTCAAATTTCCGTACCACGGATAGCTACGGGCCCCGTTCAGACGGACGAGTTCGTCCATGGTCGGAACAGAGGAGGGGGAGAGAGACAGCTGCGAAGCCCTAGTATACTCCATGTTGTAAACCATACCATTAACCGTGGTGTGAGAGGTATTAAGAGGCAATGCTGGCGAAAGAGCTGCGGTCTGAAGGTCATCGTAAAATTACAATTAATTAAGAACAGAAATGATTTAACACATCTTTCCAGTGGTTACTAAGCCTGAATCCATCTTCTCGGTTGAAATTGTCTCTGTGCTTGTATATGTGAATGGCCTCATGAACGAATCTCTCATGGTAGCCAGTTGGTTTGCAAAGAACCTCCGTCTTGGAGAAGTCAATTTCATGTGAGCCCACTGAATTGTAACAGTGATCTGCCACGGCAGAGGAGTTCGTCTTACCGTGTTTCAAGTCTGCTTTATGTTCGCGGATGCGGTCTGAGATATGTCTTTTGGTTTCTCCAATGTAGCTACTACCACAGAGGCACTTTAGTTTGTAAACGCCCGGGTACTGTATGTCTGGAAGAGCATCTTTTACAGATGGAACTAAATCACGGATTTTGTGTACTGTGTTGAATCGGACCTGGATCTTGTGTTTATTCAGGATTTTGGAGATCTTTTTAGTGACCCCTGCAATGTAGGGTAAGGTGATGGTTTTGAGTGGCTCCACGAGAGGATCCTTCTTCATGACTGGAGTGATGGCTTTGCGGATTGTGTAGTCGGAGTAGCCATTAGCCCTGAGAGCCTGGTGTACGAGCTTGAGTTCACTGGTAATGTGTTCCTGGTCGGAAATGCATTGGGCTCTATGGTATAGAGTCTTGATGAGGCAGTTCTTCTGGGATGGATGGTGGTGGGAATCCGGTTTCAAGTAAGCATCTGTATGGGTAGCTTTCCTGTAGACAGAGTGGCTCATTGAACCATCATGTCTCCTTTTAATTAAGACATCCAGAAAGGGTAGTTTGCCATTTTTTTCGACCTCCATGGTAAATCTGATGGCTGGGTGTATGGAATTGATGTGGTCGCGGAATTGGTCTAGAGCAGGCTGGCCATGTGGCCAGATGACAAAGGTGTCATCAACGTACCTCTTCCATAAGATCGGGCGTAGAGTGGCAGTCTGGATGGCGTCAGTTTCAAATTTTTCCATGAATACGTTGGCTACAACCGGAGATAGGGGGGAGCCCATTGGGGTGCCCTCAGTTTGTTTGTAGAAAGTTCCATTCCAGGTGAAGTATGTGTTGGTTAAGCAATGTCTCACCAGGGGGGGTACATCAGTATGCAGTCCTTGATGAACCAGGTCTTCAATGATAGCGATGGTGTCAGGTACCGGGACTTTGGTGAACAAGGACACCACATCAAAACTGACAAGCAGGTCGTTTGGGGACAGGGAAATGTCTTTGATTGTCGATACCAGGTGAGTAGAATTTAGTACCGCAGAGGTGGTTTTTCCAGTGAAAGGTCGCAGTATATCAGCCAGAAAACGTGCCAGTTTGTAGGTGGGGGAGCTGATAGTAGAGACGATGGGACGAAGGGGTGTATCTTCTTTGTGTATCTTTGGAAGGCCATATAATCTTGGTGGTCTGGCAGCAGAGGGTTTCAACGAGAACTGTTTGTTCTCATCAATTAATGCTGTTGAATCAGAGATAATTTTGTTCGTTTTGGTGACCAGGCTGTTGGTGGGATCTCTTTTTATTTTTGTATAGCTGCCATCGTTGAGTAGTTCTTGAATTTTGTTGTTATATTCTGTTTTGTCCATGATGACAGTGGCATTGCCTTTGTCGGCTGAGAGAACGACAATATCATCCCTCTTTTTTAATTGAGATAATTCAAAACGTTCGTCTTTGCTGATGTTGCTAGGTGGCAACTTAGCGTTTTTGAGGGTTGCAGCGATTTCAGATCTTGCTACGTCTGCAGAGATGTGACTCAAGCCCTTGAGTGCAACGTCGACATGGGCAATGATATCATTAACCGGTAAGTGTCTCGGTGTGACAGCAAAGTTTAGACCTTTAGCTAAAACGGATTTCAGACCATCAGAAATGGAACTGTTACTGCGATTAATTACGACTTTGTTGACGTCTATCTTTTCGGTGTGTGGATCCGATTTTTTGCTGGAGAGGTGATTGAATTTGGAAATCAAATTGTCCCTACATTTGTTCGACATAGTGGCAGCCGAAGAGGTAGTCATATTGTCTACATGTTCCCAATCCGATGTAGACATTGTTGCTGTCAATTTTAAGTGTGATTTGTAGAGTGTCTTGTCTAACTGATCGAGTTCGGTGCGTGTAAGTCTGATTTTTTCCGAGATAAGAGCGAAGCTAGTTCTAGCTAGATTTCGTTTTGCATTGAGAGAAGTTGCAACAGCAGAGGTTAGTGTAAATGCGGTTGGTATTACCTTAGAGTCGCGGCATCTCTTCAGAAAGGTGAGAGACTCGATTAGTTGAGCCTTCTTATCCCGAAGTCTGTTGAATGATCTTAAGGATGTGTGGAATCCCTCCCCGTAGAGGCGGTTAAATTTCGATTTAAAGCTTTCGTGACTGCAATGATTCATCTTCTTTGGTTCTTTCGGTAAAGTCACGTAGAATGAGAATAAAATAATAAATTGATAAAATAAAATAACACAATAATATTCTCACGACGTTTCGGCCACAACACAAGCGGCCTTCATCAGGTGAAGGGAGCGAGACTGTCTGGTAGGACAGCGCTGGAGTGAGAGAGCCACGTTCAGATCACGGCTTTTAAGCTGTGTGAGAGGAACAAAGAGCCTTGACGAAGGAATTAGCATAAAATTTAGCATTGAAAAGGCTGAATGATTAGCTTGTGACTGGTCACAGAAATAGCTATGTTAAAAGTTAAAGCATACACATCCGCAGAGGCACCCATTGTTAAAAGGAATTAGCATAGAATTTAGCATTGAAATAGCTAAATTAAGGCATACACATCCGCAGAGGCACCCCTTGATAATGGGATTAGCATAGAATTTAGCATTGAAATGGCTGAGTGATTCGCTTGTAACTGCTACAGAAATAGTTACGTTGAAGTCAGAGCATACACATTCACCGAGGCACTTAGTACAAATCAAAACAGGAGAATTTAGCATTGAAATAACTAGGCGAATTTAGCATTGAAATAACTGGGTGATTTGCTAGTGACTGGTCACAGAAATGACTACACATCTGAGCTATTCACAGTACTATATAGTGAACCAATAAAAACTAAAATATAAATTACCTTCATGTTATCAATAAACTCTATATTCTCCAATCAGCTAAGCTACCAACCATAAGTCGTTATATATCACAATGCTATATGGCGAAAAAATGGGTGGATTCTTACCCTCAAATTTCCGTACCACGGATAGCTACGGGCCCCGTTCAGACGGACGAGTTCGTCCATGGTCGGAACAGAGGAGGGGGAGAGAGACAGCTGCGAAGCCCTAGTATACTCCATGTTGTAAACCATACCATTAACCGTGGTGTGAGAGGTATTAAGAGGCAATGCTGGCGAAAGAGCTGCGGTCTGAAGGTCATCGTAAAATTACAATTAATTAAGAACAGAAATGATTTAACACATCTTTCCAGTGGTTACTAAGCCTGAATCACATCTCTGCAGACGTAGCAAGATCTGAAATCGCTGCAACCCTCAAAAACGCTAAGTTGCCACCTAGCAACATC